GGTTCTGGTTTCACCAACGAATAGCTGGTGACGGTACACCCGGATCAGTTCTCTTGCCTCCTTTTTCTCATCCCTGAAACAGGGGATCAAAGAAACCCCTGGGGTGATGGTCAAATAAGTTATGTGAAAGTAAGTTAGATGGTTAAAAAAAGCAATTTATGTAGCGGCCTCGCAAACGGCAGAAGCTATCATTGTGGTCCCGGGGCAGGATTCTCGCCTTCTGTACTCTGAGGCTAGGCAGGAAAACGCTGGAAAGAAACCCCCAAGCAACCGCCAGAGGCCCATCCTTCCCCAAGAACGGGCTGGCTACCGGAGCGGGCATTTCCTCTTTATCTTCTCCCGCCAGGCCTCGCCCCCACATCCACCGAGGTGTAGGGGCGTAGTGATGCCTCTCCACGGTTGTTCCCTGTCTCCCCCCTTCCATATCGTGCAGCCCTCTCGCGGCCCAAAGAAGGACATGAAACCTACCCTCTCCAGCCTGCCTCCTTCTACCACTGGTGACTCATCAGAGCCCTACCCTGTGGCAGGCAGGTCTGGGTCGTGAAGGGCAAAGTCCAGACTGTACACGACCTGGCCTCTGACGACAGCTTGAGGTCACTTCCTCTCCTGCTTTACACATCAGCCGGCAGAAACCCTTGCAGTCCTTCGAATCAAACTGTGTTTGCTCACGTTCATGCTGGGACACCTCTTCCCTGTGACCCTGGCGGTGGTCACTCACACTTCAGTTCACCGGCCGAGCCAGCCCAGCTCCCCCCACCTCCCGAAAGCCTTCTTGGTTCCCCATGGAACCAAGGCAGAGGCCGCGTCTGTCCTGTTCCTGCCTCTAGCACAGAGCCCGCCACGCAGGAGGTGCCCAGTGAATATTCGTTGGGCGAACGAAGGAACCAGGTGTTGTTCAAGTCGCCTGGGAATCTCATGTGCCTCTGTCATTGCGGATCGCAGGGTATCTGGGGCCGGTGTGGAACCAGAAGTAAGTTCTTCCGGTCCCCTTCAGGGAGGAGAGTCTGACTCACTTCTGATAAGCATGGGAAGCAAATATGGGACTGCAGTCACCACTCTATTCTGGGCTCCCAGAGACATCAATACTCCCTACACGTCCTTCACCCTGGAGAGCTTGGGTGGGTCCTCAGAACTCTCGGTTCACCACTTACAGCAGCGGCTGCTGGTCTGGCAAACGTGGGGGTCGAGGAGAAGTGGACGCTGGCGGAATGGAGGTGAAAAACACGAGTTGTGCAGAGGAACTGGGGCCAGAGGTTATGGCTGGAAATCCCATCTCCCCTCGACCGCTTCTTCCTTCTTGTGCTCCTGCCTGTGGTCCTCGAGCACGGGGCAGCAGAGATGGCTGCCCGGATGTCTGGGATGCCTGGATGGAGGAGGAAAATCCCAGGGTTGCTCCGTTGTCGAGTTTTGTTTTGTTTTCGTTTTTGTTTTTGTCTTCCACCTGGATACAAAACATGTGATGCCCGCACAGTCACAGAATAAAGCAGAACGGGTTCAGGATTCTCAGCTCTCTCTTTTTAAAAAGAAATTTTTTGTAACATTCATTTTTTTGAGAGAGAGAGAGAGAGAGAGAGAGCGCTCAAGTCGGGGAGGGACAGAGAGAGAGGGAGACACAGGATCCGAAGCAGGCTCCGGGCTCCGAGCTGTCAGCACAGAGCCCGACGCGGGGCTCGAACCCACGAGCCTTGAGATCGTGACCTGAGCCGAAGTTGGACGGTCAACTGACTGAGCCACCCGGGCGCCCCAGGATGCTCAGTTTTCTTATCCAGCATTTCCTACTTTTGACAACACTCTCCACTTGTGCCCCCACCCAGGGACAGGGAGGGGGGGATGTGGGGAGAGGATTTGGCTTGTTCTTGGCTCATACTTTTCACGGTGGCCCAACTCGTCCAGCCCTCCGTGTGGTCACAGGCTCCCTCCTCGTCGTGCAAGCTTTGTTTCGCCAAATGTCGTCTAAACCTTTGACCTTATGGTTTAAAGCTTAGGGTTAGAGATATCCATTGGTATTAGACCGGCTGCCAGGAAAAACGGGGCTAAAACAACAGTGACGTAAGACAAAGGTGTGTTTCTTCCTTGGTGCACAGAGAATCCAGACACGTTTAAGGCGGGGCCAGTTGGAATGGCTTCCCGCAGTCTCCAGGCACCCACTTTTCAGTGGCGTGTCGGTCACCCGGAGATCTCTGGTTTGTGCGGTTTTCCACTTTCCATGGTGAGCGTGCTGTGGCCAGGCTCACCGAGCACACACTTGTAACGGCCACAGACCTCGCCATCGCGGATGAGATAAATAGTAAATATTCACACCGGTCACTATTTAACGACACGATGCGGTTACATGGTATACAGCAGAACAGTGACGGGACCGCGTTCAACCAGGGGACTGGATTTGTAACAGGGGTGGTCAGGAGGTCTCTTTGAGGACATGTGCGCCGTTTATTTTTGTGGGTGGGGAGGGCCATGACGGTTAATTCTCAGCTGTCCCGAAGGGCGAGCGAGCAGCCTTGCCACAGCCTTGGCCAGAGGACAGCTGGCCCCCGGCCGGCGAAGGCGGTGGCTGTGGTGTCACCGCTGAGACCTCGCCAAATTGGGAGCTGCAGGAACCAGCTTCCTCCCTGTCACCACCCAGGCCGGAAAAAGAACTCATTTCTCCTTTGACAGGAGGGAACAGGGAGGAGAGAAGGGCCAGAGCAGGATGATTCAGGCAGGAAAGGAGCTGTTTAGATATCAGGGGTTTCTAGGTTTCTCAGCAAATCTGAGCCTTTGCACAGACCAGGGTGGGGACCCCAGAGGCAGTGATCTACACATACGGGTGTTGGGGGATTTATTTATTTTTAACAAATAGGGGCGTGGGTTTGGGAATGGAGTAGACTTGAGTCGGCATCACGCATGGCTGTGGAACCTGGGGCAAGTCACTTGCCGTCTCTGAGCCTCGCTCTTATCCTCTGGACGCAAGCACAGTGACGACTGCCTGACACAGGAGGGGACGGGGCTTATGAAAGAAGGGGGAGGGGGCTCTGGCCCCGAGGAGGGAGCGACAGGAAAGGGGGGGTGCTTGGAAACAGGGGTCTCAGAGCCAGGCAGCCAGCCTGGCATGGGCAACACCTCTACCCTGTGCTGCCCTTGTGGCCCTGGGCAAGTCACTCACCGTCTCTCCGAGCCTCCCCTGCTCTTTCAGGAAAACGGAGGTGGGCTCTGCTTTCCTGTGGACACGGTGAGGATGACATGGCTCATGAGTCACCTACGGCACAGAGTGTAGTGACAGCTACGCAGACAACCCTCCACAGACAGTATTCGAACTCACGTCCGTTCCTCTTCTTGCTAAGCATCACGTTGCGGTAGGTGGCTTCGTGCTGGTCACAGAAGCACTAATGCTCCTCGGGTGTTAGATGCATCCGCACATCAGCGTCCTCCAACAGCTCAAAATCAAAGGGTCGATCTTGTTTATAATTCAGCCACGGATTCCCCGGGGGGGGGGGGGGGCTGTGGCCACCGCCCCCACTTCGCTGCATTTCAGATGTTTTTCTTTTATGAAAAGGAGCAAAAATCAGCTCCGTGTGTAGACGATGTTTTGGGGTGCCTACCTAGCTTACAAGGCCAAACCTCCCCCCTTCTTGGGGCAAGGAGCCCCCACTGACGCGGCCGGGCCCCTTGAGCTCTGCTTGTATGAAGCATCCAGGCCCCCCCCCCCCCCCACAGGAAGGGGCGCAAGGTTGACACGTGACCCGAGTGAGCCAATCAGATGCCTTCTCCAGGGGCTTCGGAAACAAGGCAAAGGGATTCTGTGGATTTGGAAGCTATGGGATTGTGTCTTCCCCCATGTGGATGGGGAAGCATTGAGAACCCATCTGCAGACACAGAGAGAGAACTAGGAGTCTAATGTACCCGGAGAAGAGGATTACAAGGGGTGAGGGCTGGGGGCCGAGAAGGTTCCAGCAACATTCCTGCTTTCTCTCTTTTTTTTTTAATGTTTGTTTATTTATTTATTTATAAAAAGTTTTTAATGTTTTTATTTATTTTTGAGACAGAGACAGAGCATAAGCAGGGGAGGGGTAGAGAGAGAGGGAGACACAGAATCTGAAGCAGGCTCCAGGCTCTGAGCTGTCAGCGCAGAGCCTGACATGGGGCTCGAACCCATGAGCCTTGAGATCATGACCTGAGCTGAAGTTGGATGCTTAACCGACTGAGCCACCCAGGCGCCCCAATGTTTATTTATTTTTGAGAGAGAGAGGCAGAGGATGAGTGGGGGAGGGGCAGACACACACACACACACACACACACACACACACACACACACACACAGAATCCGAAGCAGGCTCCGAGCTGTCAGCACAGAGCCCAACACGGGGCTCGAACTCACAAACCGCGAGATCATGACCTGAGCGGTTAACCGACCGAGCCACCCCGGTGCCCCAAGGATGTGCCATTCTTCATTTCGGGCCTAAGAGGCATTGTGCCTCTGTCTCCCTCCTGGAATCCTGCCTCTTGCATGTGAACAAGGTTGGGTCTGCCTGCTACAGGATGATAGATGATGTGGAGGACAGGTTAGTTGTCCCAGACGACCGTCCTAGTCCAGATAGCCCCTGGGTAACTGCCACCTCATCACAGAAGTGGGAGTGGGCCCAGCAGAGACCAGAAGACCCGCCCAGCTGAGCCCAGCCCAAACTGATAACCCTCAACATTGTAAGCTAAACCCATGGCTGTTGTTTCAAGCCATTAAATTTCAGCTGGGGGGGGGGGGAGGGGGAAGTAGTTTGTTACACAGCAAGTGCTAACTGATACACCCTTGGATTTTTTTGTATGTGTGCGTGTGTGTGTGTGGAAATCTTGGATCCTTATCGTAAATTCGTCCTTTTGTTTTTATTGAGCCACTTAAGTGAGTATCTCTCGCTGACAGCCCACGAATTTTAGGAAATACAGGCTACTTGTGTAGGTGGCTTCCCGGGGGTTGGTGAGCTGGGCAGATGGGAGGCTGGTAATTGCAGAGAGGGGAGAAAAGCGGTCCCCGGGACTCTCAACGAGACGAGAACATCCCACGGGCAAACGGTCAGGAGGGAGGGGGTCTCGACTGGAGGCCCGGTAGCTTCCTCTTTTCCCCAGCCGCGGGATGCTCTTGCCGCTTTCCTGGCATCACCTCTTAGGCTGACAGACGGGTGCCCACTTTAGCAGCACATCTGCAGTCTTCGTCGGTGAATCCTACGACGGAGAGCGAGAAGTCGTCACCGTCATCGCCATCAGCGTGGCTGACGTTTATTGAAGGTTTACCACGCACCAGGCACGATTTGCAGCGCCTTGGTCCTCCTGCCTCGTGTAATCCACACACTCCCCCTCTGAGGTAGGTATCGCCACTGTCCTTGTTGTACAGAGGTGGTTAAAGGACCCGCTCAAAGTTCCGCAAGCTAGCGGACGAATGGCAGAGCTGGGATGCACCCGAGTAGCCTGGCTTTGGGGGCCCGCGGCCTTAGCGACAAGCGGCAGGGGTCTCTCTTGCCCTTGGTGGGTGCGGTCGACGTGTGTGGGGCTTCCCCTCAGTCCATACCCCTCTTTTCCGAGGACTGCCCCTCCCCACCGAGAGGGTCAGGACAGCCATGCTTGTCCTCACGACCTCATCTCTAAGGCTGAAGCTGGTTCCTTCTGGCGTCGGCAGTGGTTTGCCATCGTAGGTCTGGGCCAAAATGGTAGGGGGACGAGAAGTGACTCCTCCCGCCCACTCACGGGGGCGGGGACTGGGTCTCTCATCCTTCCCCTCTAAGAACGTGGTTTTGGATTTGGATCTGGGTTTGGTTCAGAGTCAGCCGCCTGTCAGCTGTGCGTCCTTGGGCCAGCTGAGGAGTTTCTCTGAGCTTCGGTTTGCTCATTTTCCAAATGAGGCCAAGAATGTACCCGTCCCTCAGAGTAGCTGGGGCTTGAAGGCTCCCGGGGCTTACGCAGGATGAGCTGACGGATGAGCATGATGCAGGGGTTCAGGGAGCAGCCTGGCCCTCCCCCACCCCTGCCTGGGACTCGCGGACTGGAGACCTGGCCCCAGCCTCTCCCAGCTGATCCACAAGGCCTTTGCAAACCACGCCAGCTCGCAGCGCACAAGCTACGGAGGCTGGTACTGTTGTGGCGGAAAAAGAGGCGGTGTAGGGTAGGGCGAGAACTAGGAGTGAGGCAGGGTTCTGGGTTCGAACCCCTCCTCTCCGGCTGCGGGGTCTGGGCCCAGCCACTCCTCCCCGAGCCTGGGTTTCCTCTTTGACACACACAAGATCTTCTTTCCTATCCGTGACCCCCAACCCCATCCGCCGAGCTCTTGTGGAAATGAAATAGAATCATGTTTAGCAAGCACATAACCGTAAGATATTACAGTATTGGGATCATAGCTAACACATCTAGGATTAGAATGCGAGTCAGACGTAAGTCAGATCCTGTCCCTCTCTGCTCGAGACCCTCCATTGCTCTCAGGTCACTAAGAACAAAAGCCAAGTCCTTGCCAGACATCCCCTGAGCCCTCTCTCCTTTGCTCAGTGTCTTTGCTCAGATGTCAGTTTCTCAGGGAGGCCTTCACTTAGTTCAACTGCACCCCCTCCCCACCCTGGCCTCGCCTCCTGGCCTTACCAAGGCAGACCAGCTCCAGAATCGTCTTCTGTCTCTTTGTTCCCTGGGGGTCACACCTCGGGCGGGTGCATCAGGGCTCAGAATCCTGAGTCTAAAGCTTCTTGGGACGAGGCTATCGGTTGGGCTTCTGTCTGGCTGCAGAGTGAGCGCTGTGTCTCGTGGGGGGCCGAGTGGACATCAGGAGGCGGACGGGGGTGGGGACAGGACATACCTTAGGCTCTGGACGATGGTGAAGCCCACACCTCCTATCAGCATCATCGCCCCCACATTTGCAGCCACCAGGAGGGCGATGGCAGCTCCCCCTGACACGGACAGAACGGGGTCTGGTTCGATGGGCTCAGCGTCTGTGGGTTCCACGTTGTCTTCTGGGGACCAAGAAGGGGTAAGACTGCACACCCCTGCCTCCCACCATGTCACCCCCTGAGTGTGTCTTCAGTCTGCCCCCTCCTCCCCACCCTCCGGTCTCCACCCCGGCCTCCCTCTGGCTCTTCTGCCCCTGTCCCTCCCCTCCCCCCGACCTCCCGGCCACACGGGGGCCACAGGGTCTGTGGAAAGCTCAAATGTGTCCCTGTTCCTCCCCTGCTCAGAACCTTGCTGTGGCTTCCCAGGGAGCAAGCGTCTCTCATTTTGGCCTTCGAGGCCGTGCCAGCTGGCGAACCTCATCTCTCTCTCCCCTCCACCTTTATAACCCGGTCTCATTGGACTCTGCCCAATTTTCCGAGCTCACCTCTCTCTCCTACTTCCAGGCCTTTGTGACCCTAGAATGCTGGTCCACCCACCCACCACCTTGGCCTGGATGATTCCTATGTATCCTAGTACCAGCTCAGTTGTCCCCTCCTCCAGGAAGCCCTCCCTGACCCCCTGGCTGGATCAGGTGCCCCCTTGGGTCCCACATCCCTTGGCTCCCCCACCCCAGCCTTGCCTACTCTGGTCACTACTGTCTGTGGACAGGGCTGCCTCCCACTGGTCTGTCCCCTCCTCCCCCCCACCTCCCCGCGCTCAAACATTACTGTCTGGGGAAAGGGCCAGGGCTGTCTCCATCACCAGAATGTCCCCAGCACCACCCAGCACGGGCCAGTCACATAGTAGGCGGGCCAATAAACATCTCCTGAAAAGCTGATGAATGACTAAGGGGGTCTTGGAAGTGCCATCATTCTCAGTGAGCATAGCAGGGTCACCGGCTGCTCTAAGATTTAACCTTTTTTTCTCCCAACGAATCACCCCAAAACCAAATCCTGAAGCTCCTACTGGACCCTGGGAAGCTGGGAAGGAAGAGGTGGCTGGGACCCCGCCAAGCCAGGCTTTCCAGCCCCCGCCCTTTCCGTGCTCTGGACCTTTGCTCATGTGGATCCTGATGCCTAAGTGCCTAAGTACCTTCCCTGCTCCTCTGCTGACCAGGTCCTCTGTTTCATTCTCGCTCACCCGGAGCCACGTGTCCTCCGTGCATAAATACATGAAAAAGAATGTTCACGAGGATCGCGGCTATTTAAAGCACCTGCTTTTTTTTTTTTTTTTTTCTTTTTGAAGTGGGCTCCACCCCCAGCTTGGGGCTTGAACTCACGACTCTTACGATCAGGAGTCACATGCTCCACTGACTGAGCCGGCCAGGCGCTAAACCACCTGTCTCTAACAGATGTTCTGCTGGTCTCGTTCACATGTTATTTCTGGCCCTGAAAACAGTCTTGCAGACAGTTACAAGTCACCCCGTCATACACAGGAGCAAAGGGAGACCTGCCCGGGGGATGGGGGTCCACGTACGGTAACAGTCACGAAATTAATAACATGGACAACGCTAGTTGTAGCAATGATATTGGCTCGTGTTTACTGAGCGCCCGCTGTTATTTTGGGCTGTTCACCTGCGTCCTCGCTGAAAGCTCACAAGTACGCTTTGGGGCGGGCACTGGCGTTTTCTCAATTTGCAGACGAGGACCCTGAGGCCCAGAGAAGTCAAGGCACTGGTCCAGAGTCACACAGCTGGAAGAGGGGGAGCCAGAATCCAAATGCCAAAGCCCCCGCTCGGGACCACTCATCGTCACTTGCATTTTGTCACGGGTGTGTGCTCAGACTCCGAGAGGCCAGGCTCACACAGCCAGCAAAGAGTCGGAGTCGGGACCCAGACGGCTGGCTCCAGATCCTGAGCTGAGCTTTTGCTAAGAGCTCATCTCTTTCTTCTGTAAAATGGGCTAATGATCCCCACTCTGCCGGGCAAGATGGGGGGACAGGATGACACCTTGGCTACGAAGGGTCTCCGAGTGGACTGCTCTGTGGTTGGCTCCAGGGAGCCAGGGCAGCTGGCCACAGACCAGCAAGGGTGCAGAAGTCTGGGGTGGGGATGAGGGGGAGGGGGGGGGACTCACGTGGCAGCGAGATCGTCACAGGACTGGAGGGATACTCTCCCTGGCTGTTCTTGGCTGTGCACACATAGGTGCCCAGATGCCCCCAGGACAACCTCCGGATGATCAGCATATTCCCGGTGTCGTAGGGCTCCCCGTCGAGGGTCCAGTGCAGCACGGGTGTGGGGGTGATGTAAGAGGCCAAACACTCCAGGATTACTGAGTAGTTGAGGTCACTCTGGATAACGCCCTGGACGGCACTGGGGAAGGTCAACAGCATCACCCCGCTGGAGCTGGCTGTGCAAACGGAGAGCAAGGCCACGTGGGTGGAGACCCCTCAGAGAGGCTGAGCATTTCTTTTGTCCACACAGAGGCAGCCATCCATCCATTCATTCATCCGTCAATAAATGTGTTTGGAGTTCCTGATCTGTGCCCAGCGTCGCTCCAGACATAGGGAGTAGCAGACCTGTGGGTCCCCACCCTCCAGCCCCTTGCCCTCACCACTTCCCACTGCCAGTAAGGCACCTGTTGCCCGAGCGCTTTCCCTGTGGCTGCCAGGGCCCGCTGTGCCCGAGGAGAAAGCAGGCCAAAGTGTTGGGAAATGGACATACCCGGGGGCAGCCGGTATATAAATATCCCAGCTCCCCCGCCCTCAGCTGGACCGGGGTGAGGCCAGGGAGCCGGGAGGAGTGGCTGGATTCTGGATTCGTTTGAAAGCAGAGCCCACAGGATTTGCTGATGCCTTGGAGAGAGAGAGAGTGAGGAGTTGAGGAGGCCTCCAAGGCCTGGGGCCTGTGCCACTGGCTGCCGCGAATTCCTCTTTGCAGAGATGGGGCGCATGTGATCTTCACAATAGTTTTCTTTCCGTATTTTTTCCAGGTCAAAGACTCGAGGTCCAGGGGTTCTTAGGCCCAGGCTTCACGGTCAGAGAGAGAGAGGCACAGCTAGTGTCTGAACCCGGGAAGTCTGATGTCGTGGTGAGTACTGGGAGCCTCCATGCCGAGCTGCTTTCCAATATCAATGCGATATGATAAAGTGAAAAGAATGTCAGCTCAACCAAAGAACTCATGGAAGGCTTCCTGGAGGAGGTGGTGTCTGAGCTAAGCCTTGCAGGAGGAGAAAGAGCCCATCGGGTGTAGAGACAAGAATCAATATAACGGCCGCCTGGGTGTGGCTCTTACCAGGAGCCAAGCACCATTCTTTTTTTTTTTTTTTTTTTAATTGTTTAATGTTTATTCACTTTTTGAGAGAGAGAGAGAGAGAGAGACACAGAGGCTGAACAGGGGAGGGGCCGAGAGAGAGGGAGACACAGGCTCCAGGCTCCGAGCTCTCAGCACGGAGCCTGACGCGGGGCTCGAACTCATGAGCCGCGAGATCGTGACCTGAGCCGAGGTCGGACGCTTAACCAACCGACTGAGCCACCCGGGCACCCCTGCCGTTACGCCATTGCTGGTGCCCAGCATCACCCAGGACAGAGAAGGCACTAAAAAGGGATCAAACGTGTGCGTAACAATCAGCATTGGTAAGTGTTTTGCTGAGTGGAGGGAAGTCCGAGCTTCTGTGTGAGGCCTTACGGGGCCCTGCACGGTCAGCCCCGTGGACCGCCCGCTCTCTCTGCCTCCCCCCTAGCCGCACCGAAAAGCCAGCGGCCTCACAGGGCCCATGCCCTCTACGTGGCTCGGCTCATGATTCCGCAGGCTTTCCAGATCTCTCTTTACCCCTCCAGCCTTGCCCAGGCTGTTCTCGCTGCCTGAGAACTCGGTCCCTCTCGGGGCCCACTCACCTTTGCCTAGAAGCTGCTCTGTCGCACGCCTGCGTCCTCTGCCGGCTTCCAGCACTGTGTCCTCAGCTGTCACGTGTCTGATGATCGGGTCGCCTTGGGTGTCCCGCGTCTCCTGGCCGCTGGTGTGGCCGGGCCCCGGGAGGCCCTCGCGGGGGAAGAGCGTGGTTTCCAGCCGGGTCTTGTGCTCTCGGAACCAAGAAGTGGAGGGAGCGCCATTGAGGCTTCCGGGGACGGGCAGGGGGGCACGGGCTCCTGCGGTCAAGGGCTCTGGAGACGCAGAGGAGGGCGGCTCCAAGGAGACAGAGCAGGTGCAGGATGCGATCAGGATACCTTGGAGGAGGGGGGGAAGAGAAAGGAGAGAGCAGAGGAGGCAAATGGGACCAAGGGCGAGATGCTGCCCCAGCGGGTAACCCTTCCTGAGCTGGCGACAGTGAGTGTGGCACGCTGAGAGCTGATAACTGTGATGATGATAGGGACGATGTCGGAACGAAAGGGAACGTTCGCTGAGCACCTCCTATAAGCCAGATACTGTTCTGAGCGCCGAACACGTACTGTCTCACTTACTCCTTCCGTCCACCCCTGCAAAGCGCACATCACCCAGGGTAACCGTGCAGATCTGTTGTCTCCCCGTCTCTGCCCTGCTCTGCTCCCCGAGAGGCTGACTCCCCTGAGCTGCCTCATCGGGTCCCCTTGTCTTTTGCTTCCGGTTGGCCTCTGCCGGTGCGAGTGATGGCTCCCTCCCTGCTCCGTGGACGTGGGGCGGCTGTGTCCCTCCACTAAGGCTGCCGTTGTCGCGTGGCCCTGTCTATGCGCCACTCTCTTTGGGTCTTGGGGTCTGCTGGTCTTCTCGCGGCTTCTAGCACACGGGAGGTAACAGCTTCTGCTGTGGCCAGCCTCAGGGTGCTACGCGATCCCAGGAGGGGTTGCCTCTACCCTGCTTCTACCTCCGCAGATCCTCCCTTTACTAACCTCCTCGCCCATTACTCCTTTTGAGAAGACCATCTTCCCGCCTCAACCCTGAGTAACACAACTGCCACACCCTGGGTAGGAGTGAGGAAATGGAAGCTCAGAGAACTGGAGACCATTGTCCAGGATGTCCTAGGTGGTACACAGCAGGGCTGTGATCCACAGGCAGTCAACAATCTTCTTTAAAAAAAAATTTTTTTTTTAATGTTTATCTTTATTTTTTAATTTATTTATTTATTTATTTTTTAACGTTTATTTATTTTTGAGACAGAGAGAGACAGAGCATGAACGGGGGAGGGTCAGAGAGAGAGGGAGACACAGAATCCGAAGCAGGCTCCAGGCTCTGAGCTGTCAACACAGAGCCCGACGCGGGGCTCGAACTCACGGACTGTGAGATCATGACCTGAGCCGAAGTCGGACACTTAACCGACTGAGCCACCCCGGCGCCCCTCAACATTCTTCTTTTTACTGTTCATTTATTTTTGAGAAAGAGAGAGAGAGAGAGAGGAAAAAGGGGGGGGGTAGGGTGAGAGAGAGAGGGAGACATACCGGGAAAAATTATTTGCAACGGATCTCACAGACCAAGAGCTCATTTCACTAATATATAAAAAGCTCCGAGATCTCAATAAGCGAAAATATCAGCAACCCAACAGAAGCTTATACAAAGGATGTGGGTGGGCAAATCCATAGGAAAGAAAATTCAAATGTCTCTTGACCTAGGGAAAACGTTCAGCCGTGCTCATAGTAAGAGAAACGCAAATTAAAACACACGGAGGTGGGGCGCCTGGGTGGCGCAGTCGGTTAAGCGTCCGACTTCAGCCAGGTCACGATCTCGCGGTCCGTGAGTTCGAGCCCCGCGTCAGGCTCTGGGCTGATGGCTCAGAGCCTGGAGCCTGTTTCCCATTCTGTGTCTCCCTCTCTCTCTGCCCCTCCCCCGTTCATGCTCTGTCTCTCTCTATCCCAAAAATAAATAAATGTTGAAAAAAAAAATTAAAAAAAAAAAAACACACGGAGGTAACACTCTTCACCGATCAGGTTGGCAAAGATCCAAAAGGTCGATGATGTGGCATGTTGATGGGGCTGAGGGCAATGGGAAAGAACGTCTTATGTGTGGCTCATACAACCCCATGCGGAGGACATGGGCTTTTCAGATTGAAAACTCCCATATCCTTTGACCCTGAGATTAAAGATCAGGGAATGTGTTCTATGGATTAACCTTCCCCAGTATAAAATGACTTCTGGGCAGGGTCATTTGCCACATCTTAGTTTTTTAATGGCTAAAGATTGGAAATATCCAAGTGGGCGTCCATGGGGAACCGATTTAATAAATTATGCTCCATTCATACAGTGGAACAAGACAGCTGTACGAAAAGGTGGGGAAGGTCTCCGGAACGCCGTGAACTAAGAGGGAGAGATCGCCAAAGTAAGCAGTTAAGATAGAAAGGCAGGCGGCTGGACGGTTCTTACGGTACGCTAACTTGGTGTAAAAACGGGAGAAAAGTCAATCTGTAATATTTGCATTTCTTATAAACATATAAAGAAACTCTGGAGGGATGCACAAAGACAGTGGCTACCTGTGTGTGCCGGCAGGGGGGAGGGGGACCTTTTATATCCCTTTTATATATCTTTGAAATTTGAACCATGGGCGTGTGTAAGCCATTCAACAAAATTAAGTAAAATTTGAATAAAGGAAATAAGAGAGCATAAACTATGTTCTCAGTAGTCTTTCTCACACACACACACACACACACACACACACACACACACACCCCAGAATGCAGGCTCCAAAACTGGACTGCCAGCATGGGGCACCTGGGTGGCTCAGTTGGTTAAGTGACTGACTTTGGCTCAAGTTATGATCTCATGGTTCATGAGTTCGAGCCTCGCGTCGGGCCGTGTGCTGACGGCTCAGAGCCTGGAGCTGCTTTGGATTGTGTCTCCCTCTCTCTCTGTCCCTCCCCTGCTCATGCTCTGTCTCTCTCTGTCTCTCAAAAATAAATAAATGTTAAAAACAATTTTATTTATTTATTTAAAAAAAAATTTTTTTTTCAACGTTTATTTATTTTTGGGACAGAGAGAGACAGAGCATGAACGGGGGAGGGGCAGAGAGAGAGGGAGACACAGAATCGGAAACAGGCTCCAGGCTCTGAGCCATCAGCCCAGAGCCCGACGCGGGGCTCGAACTCACGGACCGCGAGATCGTGACCTGGCTGAAGTCGGACGTTTAACCGACTGCACCACCCAGGCGCCCCTAAAAACAATTTTAAAAAGCAGTATAATGAGTGGGAACCTTTTAAGGATCCGAAATGCCCCCTTACAGAATACAGGTGAAAACATCAGCTCTCTTCCTGAATGAGAAGTGATGGCAAGGGTTGGAACAACTCCTCGGGCAGCATCATGGGAAACAAACAATGCTGTGCTCCGTAAGCAGCTGTGAGAGGTCAGCCGTCTGGGAGCAGTCGGCACAGTGCCAGGGCCCGGGCCAGATTCTCCCAGCCATTTCCTCACGGGTCCCCTCAACAGCCCTGAGGTCAGCACTAGTCTGTTTTACCGGCAGGGAAACTGAGGCACCGTGAGCTTCGGTCTCAGCTTAAGGTCATAAGTGGCGAGCCGGGAGTTGTCCCACTATAGCGCCTTCTGGGTGGGTGATGGGCCTACTGCCCGCTTCGTACCTCCAGTGATTTCATGTCTGAGTCGGCTGCTGGTAGGGCTTTTCTGTTCCCCTGCTCGTAAGCCTTCCATGGCTCCCCAGTGCCCTCAGGACACAGTGCTGATACCCTCGCCTGGCACCCTCCTACACCTCCGTGCCCCTGTCACCATCTTCCCTCATTCTCTGCGTCAGAGAGACTGAACTCCGGGCAGTGGCTCGGGCCTCCGGGCCTTTGCATGTGCTGGTCTCCCTTCCTAGAATGCTGTTCCCCCTAACTCTTTATCTAGCGGTGATTCCAGTTTCTGCTCAGGTACCCCTCTTCTGGAGCCTTCCCTGACCCTCAGGCATGCTTGGTAATAGATACTACAGTGTCTGGGCAGGGACCTCAATAGATGGAGTGAGGCCTTGCTCTTTGCTGCAAAGTGACAGGAATAAAGTGTTCTACCCAAGGACCTAGGTGTCGCTTTTTTTTTCCTTCCTTCCTTCCTTCCTTCCTTCCTTCCTTCCTTCCTTCCTTCCTTCCTTCCT